GATATGAGTTACAAATAGAGCCTGTATTTGAATTGTAATATTCATAATTTCTGTTGAATGTACTCTGCTGGATTGTTATATTACAGTCATGAGACAACAGTACACCAGTGACATCAGTGAAGAGCAAGAACAAACCAGATCCAACATCCTTTTTATAAGTAGGACCTATCCCATTTGTAATGTTACAGTTATGAATTAATGCATTTCTTGGATTGATAGCAAGAATAGCAAAACCAGAATAGTTGATAATATTAACCTCATCAATGAGTAATGTACTGATATGAAGAAGTACCAAAACAGCTGAATGATTCTGTGAGAAATGCATTGGAGATGCACTAGAATTGATTGATTCTATTGCATCTAGTCTCTTTAATTGTTCACCACAGCCTGTGAATACTAACCTGGTTAATGTCAGGTTGTGTATATTAGTGAAAGCAAACCCGCTGTTTGGTGGTGTACTGGAATCATTGCACTGTATAAAAGCTTGCTTTGAGGATTCACTGATTATTGTCAGTGAGTGGGTATCATTAATCACACCACAAAATGATACATTTTTGCTAATGAAGTGAGTGATGCTATCAGATAACACCAGCACAATATCATCATCCAGTGAATGAGTCTCATTACACAAGAAATTCTCCAACTCATATTCATTAGTTATATTAATCCGTTTACTGGAAACTGACAAAAGAACAAGAGAGAAAGCAAGTACAATCAAATACATTTCTGACTATATTTATTATAAAAATATTTCTCTCAGTGATTTTATAAAGATTCAATGTTTACTATAGAGAAAGTGTGCTATAGTTAATGTTTTTAGCAACTCAAAAGTAGCTATCAATGTAAACCATTGCCAGCAATACATGACAAATAGCAAGTATACTTGTCAATAAATAACATGCATCTACATACAGACAGTGTTGTGAAAACATATCGAAATTTTACAATAGCTAGCTTTTACAACGTATCAAAAGTCTGTAGGTAGAATAAACAGAAGTGAAAGAGCTATACAAACTTCTTTAAATAACAATAATATTTTTTTACAATAGTGGCATTTGTGTTGTTACAAACTGGAAGTAAAGTTATTGTCATAGGTAATAACAAGAAAAGTGAAAGTATATTTTGTTATGAAACACAACTATAGACCTATTACAGGAACATGATACTAATAAGTAGACTATAGTAGTATAACAAGTAATGTGCTGCAGTTATAATTTTTAAAAAAGTGTGTTGCTCACATTATACTATTATCTAAGTAGTAATACATGTAGCATTACATTTGGTATTGCTCTTCCTGTTGATGCACATGATACTACTGGAATAGAGACAGATATCAAAAGTAATTATTATGCCTTTAATGTCATACTATTAGTCAGTGGCTGCAGTCACTGGGCTGCAGCTAGTGATCATACACACTATGATGTCAAAGGCACTTCACTGGTTTCTGTCTATTCCACTTTGTGGCTTCTATGATGATATAAAAGTGGTAGACAGTAAGAGCTGAATTTATTGCAACAGAGAAACAGCTATGGGATCAGGGCTACTAACAGTAATTATACTGGTAAGATACAATATATATGATAGTGTATGGTATCTTTACAGGCAATGCTGAGTACATGTTCTACAAATGGACTATCGCTTTCTGATCTGTACCCATATGGTACAGAACATGGGGATGGCATGCGTACTGGGTCTAGTGTTCCTGCAGCACCATTATTGGCCCCAATTGATAATTTAGTTGCATTTGGTCCAGTTGGAATTAGAGCAACAAGATACAGAGTTAGTAGCTACACACACACACATGCACACACGCACACACACACATTATTAGTGCTAAGTGCTTTAGTTTGTATGTAGTGCAATTGTACACTAACCATTACTAGTTAGTAACACAATTCATTTCTCAGTTCATAACATTTACTTATACTATCTATAGGTTAGAGTTGAAGGGTACATGCAAATTCAAAATGATGGTTCAGATAGCCTCCTTTTGCTTATACTCAGCTCAGCTTCAGGTGCTTATTTCAATAATAAAGTATATGGTAGGACTACTGATGATCCAGGATTAATAAACAGAGCAATGGATCAGATTAATGAAGGATTTCCTAATACTTTCTGCAGTACATCTCTTCCTACACAATTAATAATAGGAACATGGATAGATTATCTAAAAACTGGTTAGTACAATTATTACTTAATGCATGAAATACTGTTAATAATAGCTAGTTACACTCTAATCACTATATTTATTATTTTTAGGGCAGTAACTTCCAGCTAATTGTTGTAACTAATGGAAGCATTACATTTGGTATTGCTCTTTATGTCGATGTGAGCATTACATCAGCTCAAACTGAAATAAGTTCAATCATTAATAGTAATTTTACAACAGCTGATCCTTCTTTCTTTCCATTTGGTACTACAGTCATGAATGCTCCTAGCATGATGCTTAATAGCAACATACCAGAGACATATATATTTTCACTGAATGATATACCACCCCCAGGTATGACTATAGTACATGCATCAACTGTTCCATATAACTTGTATCTTTTAGATACTTGCAGTTCTGTCTGCTATTCTTGTAAGGCCAGACTTGTTTAGTTGGCATGTGAGGCTAGGAGGATTAATGGAGAAGATGTACCAGCTTCTTGTAATAACTAATACCATTCCTTTTTTATTCTGTTTTGCTGTGATCAAATTGTTTTTAAGTAGTGAATTATATACTTTAACAGTGAGATTAGTGATAATAGTTTTTATTAATATTTTTGTAACAAATAAATGTCAGAAAAGAAAAAGAGTGTGTCAAACAGCTTTAATTTGATTATAAAATCAACTAAGAGACAGTGCAGCAGGTACTGTATAAAAAAGATCCTATTCAAACAGATAAGCTGCATTACTATACTGCTGGTGGTAGGTGTACATGAATATACTTTAGGTGTACATGATGAAGTAGTGTTGAAGAATGCAAACATTGAAAATACCAGTAACAAAACTAACAAATGCAAAACTTTTAGAATCTCCACTATCATTTATTATTACCATGGCTTGATTCAGTATTAATAATGATACTAGTCTACTGCCATCATCATAACTAATAGTTAGTTAAATATCACGTATAATCTAGAGAAAGAAAGAGCATCATGACTCATACTGCAGCATCCAACAGTGTCACCTACATATGTGTGTTAGTATACTAGAGTGGCAGTGTTTGCATTCTTCACCATCCATTCTCTTTCATGGGCACCTTCCTCCACCTATTACTATTTAGTTACTCACTGGTCAAGTGACTTAAATTTTTACTTAAATTTGGTATTTTTCATCTTAATTTGTATTGTCATTATTCATCTCAAAGCTGGCAAATTCACTTGTATTTGAACATGAACAGTGTAAAGGTGCCCATGCTGGTTCTCAGCAATGATGTATTAATTTACATACACTTCCACTGAGACTGCATGCATACATTACAAACAAATGCTACGATTCAATTTGTCTCAATAGAATTTGTCCCTTTTCTGATTCACTGATGCATATGCAGTGCCATTTAACTGCAAAGCAAATTAACATATGGTACAGTTTTTTAGATAGATAAATCATGGCTGTTAGAAATGCATTAGATATACACCAAAAGAGAATACTCAATCAGTCCCTTGGTTAGTCTTGAGTTCATATGGTGCATATCCTCAAAGCAATGCTACATAATTTTTACATATTTGAGCTGACACTGTTTTAATTTGCGTGATAAATTAAGAAGTATCAAAGAATGTATAAATTGCTACTCCTAACATCTGTCTACCATATGTGATTTACATCTCTATGACAAGTAAGAAATAATTAAATTATATATATGTGTATATGGTGTATATCTTCAACATATTTGAGCAAACATTGTCTTTGCATGATAAATTAAATTATCAAAGAATGTAAAAATTGCTACACTCCTAACATCTGTCTACCATATGTTATTTACATCTCCACAACAAGTAAGAAATAATTTAATTACAAACATATGTATATGGTACATATCCTCAGAGTAATGCTACATAATTTTTACATATTTGAGCCGACACTGTTTTTGCATGATAAATTAAGGAGTATCAAAGAATGTAAAATTGCTACTACTAACATCTGTCTACCATATGCCATTTACATCTCCACAACAAGCAAGATAATTATATATACCTATATGTATATGGTACATATCCTCAACATATTTGAGCCAACACTGTTTTTGCATGGTAAATTAAGGAGTATTGAAGATTAGAATGTAAAAAATTGCTACTCCTAAAATGTTACAATTAAACATCAAAGCAATTCATACAAGTACCATCTGTCTACCATATGCCATTTACCAATCAAAATCGCCCATTTACTGCTAGGAACGGAAACATGACACATGTACATGTACAGTACCATCAATATGTCATTATACGTGTAGATTATAAGATTTAATTAAAGGGCCTAGATCAATAATATGGAACATTACAACTTGGAAAATAAGTTCAATAGCATGTATGAGCTGGGGGGATCTAGGATTTATTTTTTGGGGGGCAATTATGAGATGGGTGGAGTAATTAGGGGGTGTAATCAAGTAAGCTTGTGCATGTGTAGAACATGGCAGAGCCATATTAGCAGAACTGACCATAGTAGCGAAGGGGTGGGGCGAGACTATAGCAGACCTTTAGGAAAGTCAAAACTATGAAGACTAAGCCTGTTAGAATGAACTCATTTGTGGGTTAAAGATTGTTTACATAGTCAAGTACTGCAGCCGCTTCAAAGTTTATATAGGGAAAACTGAGTTTACATTACCACAGAAAATTTTGGGGGGCAATGCCCCCTAGCCCCCCCTTATGTCAGTATGAGGGATAAAAGTGTCATTTAAACATTGTTAAAATTATTTTATGCTGTGTGGCGTGTGTACAAAACAAAATTTATGGTGCTGATAAAAGGCAAAGCTGGAGAGTATGAAATTAACATTATAATAATTATTATGAGTTGAGAAGTGGTTCCCTCTCATTGCAGGACTGATAGAAGGAACTACATTCATCTAAATCCTTCTGACGTGCAAGAGGACGAGTTAACACAATATTATTCACACGAAATGAAGCAATCTTGTTAAACAGTTTCTTTCCAAATGAAAATTGGCTGATAATGA